GAAGCCTAGCAGAGCTCCTCATACTTAACAAATGTTCTTTTCTCTCACCCCTGTATAGGAGTTCCATGTGAATATACCTAATAAGCCTGACAAGATGGCGATTGTTTTGGTCCCAAATATTCACAAATCTGTGTTGCTTGTTTCCAACTTGGGGAAGAATATCTAGGATTACTTGAGATTCGCTGCAAAACTGAGAACCATTCTAGTGCCACTCTTCTACTGTCCTCACTCTGTCAGCATTTGTCCTCTTAAAGTAGTCCAAGATGATTTAGTCTTGTGCTTAGATGTGAGCTTCCTGTGACAGACAATGCTTAACAATTGTTTTCTGTTGTATTGAAACCAGAGGCAGGATGAGTAAAGGAAGTAAATACCCAATTCATAAAAGAAGAATTCCGACTGATTATTAAAAAAGGAAAAAGAACTCAAATTTACTAGTGTTTAAGCATAAATTGTCAACATTGTGCTTATGTATATGCTAGTTTATAAATACATGTATCAATATTTGCACATATATATGTCTGTGCATGCAGAATGGTTATATATGTATTTATATATACACAAATGTTATCCTAGTGCACTTCTGTAATATATGATCACCACCTGAACTCTGCTTACTCAGGTGGACTTATAACATCTGCCAGTAAGTGTCTAGCAAATATTACAAGGACCATGGCGTTTCTGGGGAAATTGGCTTTTCTGGAGTCCTTGCCTGGCTCTAGTTGTTCTTGAGAATGTTATAGGTTGAGAAAAGCCAAGGAGGGTTTGGAGACACTGGAGAAATCATGTCTCAATGGTCTCAAGTAACCTATGAAGGTATACGATGACCTCTGACCTCTTCAGGCTACTTCAGCTAAGCAGGTAACAGAGAGAAACCTTTTATCAGATGAGTTAAACTGCCTGTTTTTCAGTAATAGTTTAACTAGACCATATGGTAGACTAGGGAAACCAGATGTATGAAGACAGTGCACCACATCTGGAGTTAGAACTATGGGTGACAAAGAGGAAGCCCTAGCCCTGGAACTTCTAAATTTCCAGAATGTTGCATTCACACACATTTTGATTTTCATAAAGATCTTGCATCTGGCCAGCAAGTAGAGGGAAGCACAAAGCAATAGGACCTTACTAAGTCCCAGGAATTCAAGCATGGCACCAGGACCATTCACAAAATACTGTAACTATTGCTAACCCTACATACTGTCTGAATTATGACACTCATCGCAGATCAAAAGCTGTTTCAAATGAAAAGCCATAGGGAAACCACTAAGCTTGAAAAGTTGCAAATGGCTAAGTCACCACTTTGTATTATCAGAGAGTCTCAGATTCACCAGTATTGAAGTGAATTGCAATTCAATAAGTTCTTCCATAATGCTCCTCACTCTTCCTCATAACCTTGAGCAAGTCACTTGAGAATGAAGCGATTGAGATCACTGTTTGTGTAATGGTTTATAGAATTGGACAAGGTCCTATCAGGTGAGATATAATGTTAATTAGTTCACTTTTTCAAAGGTCAATTAGTAAACATCAGTTAGCATTGGGCATGTCATACCCTTTTTCCAGAGACTGCCATCCCAAAGTGATCACACAGTTACACTTCCACAGGAAAATAGAGAGGTGGGGCTAAAGAGGATCATTGAAATTTCTTTTGTAAGGGTGAGGATGGGAAGAAGAAAAGGGTCCATTTTCCAGATTCCGTTCAGCTATATATCAGGTAATCTTTTTAAGCCTTTGAGAAGATTGAAATCCATTCTTCAAGTCTTTATTAGGGGAACTGTCTACACCTTTGATTTGGAATAAAATGCAAAAAATGTTGTAACTTTGGGATTAAACCATTCTAGTTGGTTAATACCAAAAAATTGAAACGAAAAATTAAGTCTCACTCTCTCTATCCCTTATATACATGGTTAATTCAAGTTGTACACATAAATATATGGATTCAAAAAAGTGAATTGGTGCAAAGGAATTATCTGGAAAGTTCCCAACCTTGCACTTAACAGTGTGTAACTTTCTAGAGTGATGTTTCTAATGGCTTGCCTTCAAGTTTTACTTATACTTGTCTGAAGTGTTTAAATGCTGAAAATGAGAAAAGCTTACATTTGAAATTTAAAAAAGACCAAGAAACAAACATCATCCCAATATATAATTGAGAAAATAACATATTAGAAGGTGTATTTTTCTTTAAAATATGTGCATTTCTACATACATGCAAGATTTAAAGATTGTACTTTTAATTTTTATGCTAACAAAATGCTATTTCCAAATTATCCTTAACAGGAAATCCAGCTTTCTGAAGCTTATTGAATGACATGACAAGGCTTATATGGTTTAGGACCTGAGAAGACTATGATAGACAGAAGTAACTCATAAGGATATTTTCCGTGTATTATGCAGGTAAAAATTCAAACTGATAAATCCTGACAACCTGTCCACATATGCCCACACATACACAATGAAATAATAAATATAAAAGAGCAGAATGCAAGTGATCGAACGTCAGTGAACTATCTATTAAACTTCTCAAGATTATCATTACTTTACTGCTCTGTATTTGCTCCATTTACTGATTCTTTCCTAGATATATGTTATTCTTATGATTTGATTAATAGTAGAACAATACTATGAAATTTAACTCTAAAATCCTATCGTATTTCCCATGTATAGTTAACCAATTAGGAAGTGCCCACTGTCCAATGTTGAGTCAAGAATTCAGGGCATCAAAGTCCATGTATATAATGTGACCAAGATGGATCTGAAGAAGAGAAATGGAAATGTATACTCTGTGCATGGGTTAGCATTGTGCTCCAGAATATGGGGGATATATTGAAGTGAAGAGATGTAGGCTAAATCTATTTTTTTTTCTTTTCTTTTCTATTTTTTTTTTTTTGGAGACAGACTCTCTCTGTTGCCATGCTAGAGTTCTGTGGCATCAAACTAGCTAAGAGCCTCCTCAAACTGCTGGGCTCAAGTAATAGGTTTGCCTCATCCTCCTACTCTGGGACTACAAGCATGCACTACAATGCACTGGTAATTTATTGTTTTTTTAATTGTCTGGCTAATTTCTTTCTATTTTTTAGTGTAGACGGGATCTTCCTTTTCCTCAAGTTGGTTTCAAACTCCTGATTTTGAGCGATCTTCCTGCCTTGGCCCCCCAGAGTGCTAGGATTACAGGCCTGAGCCATTGGGCCCTCCCTAGGTTAAATCTATTTGGTTAAATAGCATCAATTATGATGAACAGTTATATATCACTTTTATAATATTTAAACCAATATATTCATTGAGCTGCTAGTATTGGATTCCTGGGGAAAGTGGGATTTGAGATAAAGTGTTTCCATTTCTTCTTGATAGAGTTTTTCAGAAGCTTTTAATATATTTGTAATTTGAGAAACAACCCAGAACAAATAGGTGCAGAAGAAATTATTGGTGAAAACTTGATGTGTTGGCTGTTTTAGACCTAATATGTTTATATCTCTTAATTGATCACAGAAAACAGTTGGATTCACGACACCCATGTTTTTAAAAAATTCCTTGTCTGATTGATTGAGTGTAGCTTGTGACCTCAATGCACTTCTTTTTACATGGCTAATGTGTCTGGTTATTTTATATACAGGTATGCTTTAATTCTAAGAAATATAAAAATATATAGACAGGCAACATTAAAAATAGTGCATATTCTAAATAGTAGTTAATGAGCTTTTCCAAGACCTAACACTATAATGTGAGGAAAGCATATCTGAACAGTAGAGGTACAAGGTAACTGGGACGTTATATAAAACTATATATGGATATGGAAAATATAATAACGTATGGCAAAGAACTTTAAAAGCTATTTCTTCTAGTTTTGATCGAGATATTTATTTTTGGCCTTATTGTTTTTTAAATTGTGAAATTCAGTAAATTTTAATTATTTATTTAATAAAATTTAATAAATTTTAGGAATTTACATTCTTAAAATGTGAAAAGGTTGCCATCAGGAAGTGTTACTTTCGTAATTCTTGGGAAGAGAAACTTCTTTCTAGAATATAGTATAAAGGAATTTTCAGCTAGGGAAAATATATGTTGATATGGAAGCATGCATAAATTTACATAAGGTGGTACAGTAGACTTTCTATAAAAGTACACCCAGTATGGATCAAAATGTAATTAAAGTGATATAAATGTACACATACACGTGTATATAATGTTTAGTTTATTAAATATACTAGATCAAAATGTATAATAAATGGGGCAATACAAAGCATTTTTCATGGTTTAGTAAAAATGAACACTTAATAATAATTTTATATAATATAGTCAAATTGCCCAAAAATCGGTCGTGACAATTTTGTCTGCAAACTATAATGTGCAAACATCCAATTTTAATATTTATAATTTTATATATTACATTTAATGTAAATATATTGTTGTATATGGACGTAAATATAACATTTTGCCTGTATTGAATATAGTGGAAGGATGTAATCCAAAAGGTTATCAGTCATCATAATAGTTTTTATGACAGTGCTTTACTGTTTATCAGTGCATGCTTATTTCCAAATCCTTGGCAAACATTCTGTCTTTTTTACTAATCAGAAAATGGTTTTGAGCCTTATTTCTAAGAGATAAAATATAATACAAACCCTCTTCCCAACCACCCTACCAAATACCCAATAGTCAAAGGAAGCAATGCAAGGTCATTTAATGACAGGAGAAAATGCTTGTCTTTTAATGGTAAATGAAATAACAAGACATAACTCTTGAGTATCCTCTGATTGGAATTATATATCCTGCCATGTAGGGCACTGTATGGCATATATAATGATGAGATATTTCTGGGTGCTTCTTTTAAGACTCTAGCCATGGCTTATGCCACCAATTCAACACTTATGGCCTAGGTCTTTATGGAGAAAATCTGGAATTCATTGGGAGCCTGAGAGATGGAAGAGCCAGGCAAGGACATGTGGATTGGTAGTTAGTGATGTCCTCCAAGCCTTCAGATTTCAGTTTTCTTTTTGTTTTCAACCTAGATTCTTGAGACCTGCATCACAGAAACAGAAAACTTGATAACTTGGGAAAATGGTGGAAGTGTAATGCTGAATGAACAAGAACAAAACTGGTAAGGCAAGGCCTTTTGGAAATTTAATTCTTAAATAAAGAATAGGCCAGATAAGAGTGGTGGATTTAGGCCTCAGTTAAGTTTCAGATGGAAACCAAAGGCAAAAGTGCAGCAGCCTGATGAAGTTTCCTGAAGCTGGGCAAAATGGAAGGCTACCATATTTCCTGGTTCTTCTATGTCTTGATGGCGTTTTTTCAGACAGGATGGGCGGGAGAAGAGGGCAGAGGGAGCAGTACTTGTTATCATAGATGGAGCACTACTGCCATCGTGCGGAAATAGTTTTCACACACTGTTGCTTTACTTCTTCATTTCAGTGAGCACTTGGGTTTGGAAGCCTTTTTTCAGGGGGGAGGCTAAATAGGCCCTGGCCTGCAACTGGGCCTCTCTGACTTCTCTTGAGTAATTCCAGGAGCTCTGGGTACAGGATGAATAGTGGTATAACAAAGGCGATGTCCAGGTATGAGAGATTGTTATTGAGGGGAACAATGGCGTCCAGGCACAGGAAGTTGTTGGGTGGGGCTTTGCTTGAGGATACCTCCCACAGCCCAGGCCAGGAAATGTGGCTCCTTCTCTCCTGTCCCTGTCCCTCAGAAGATGGTACAGTCTAGTTAAACTTGTTCTGGAGCCATAGAATTTGGGCTTCCTGTGGTAGCAGCATCACACTGCAGAAGACATGTTATTTTGTGGTGATAGAATAGCACATGTGCTATCCGAGAGATTTCATACACAACAAAATCCTGGACCTCATTGCCTTGAGAAGGGAGAACTAATGGAGAAGCATTGGCGGTCACCCTATTAGGCATAGAAAAGCCATACCATGATCTGGGGGAACAGAGGTAGGCAAGAAGGAGGCAAAAATGTGAGGAAGGCTAGAAGGGATTCTCTGGGCCAAAAGGCAGCAAAGACAGTGATTTGCATCTGGTTTTTCCTGCCTAAGGGAAAAAGTGTCTACTGCCCTCTCAGTGTTCTTGGTGAGGTTTGAGGAGGAGGGTGAGGAGTGCTTATCTCTCAGTTGTTCTCTCAGAGGATGCTCAGGTCTTTAAGCTTAGCAGTGCTCCTCATACTTAACAATTGTTCTCCTCTGTCACCGCTGTATAATGAATTCCAGGTGAAGATACATAGTATGCCTGGCAAGATGGCCATTGTTTTGGTGCTGTATATTCTGAAATCCGTGCCTCTTGTTCCCACCTTGGAGAATAATGTCTAGTATTACTTGAGATTAACTACAGAACTGAGAACCATTCTGGTGCCCCTCTTCTAGTGTCTTCACTCTGTCAGCATTTGACCTCTTACAGTAGTGGAAGATGATTTAGTCTTAGGCTCAGATATGAGCTTCCTGTGACAGAAAATATTTAACAATTATTTTTTTATATTGAAACCAAAAGCAAGATTAGTAGAGGTATTAAACACACAATTCACAAAAGAGGAATTACGACTGTTTATTAAATAAATGAAAAAGTCCTCAAATTTACTAAGGTTTAAGAAGCAATTATTGTCAACAAAAATTGTGCTTTTGCATACACTAGTTTATAAATACCTGTACCAATATTTGAAAATACTTATATCTATGCAAGCATACTGCTTATATATGTATTTATACATAACAGAATGTTATTCTAGTGCATTTCTGTAAAATATGATCACTGCCTGAATTTTGCTTACCCAGGTGGAATTAAAAGATCTGCCAGTAAATGTCTAGCAAATATTACAAGGATCATTGGGTTTCTGGGGATATTGGCTCCTCTGGTGTCCTTGCCTGGGTCTAGCTGTCCTTGAGGATGTTATTGGTTGAGATCAGCCAAGGAAGGGTTGGAGACAGTTGAGAAGACATGTCTCAATAGTCTTAAGTAACCTAGGAAGGTACACGATGACCTCAGAACTCTTCAGCCTACTTCAGCTAAGGAGGTGGCAGAGAGAAACCTTGTATCAGATGAGTTAAACTGCCTGCTGTGCTGTAATAGTTTAACGTTATCATATGCTAGACTAGGGAAACCAGATGTATGAAGACAGTGCACCATATGTGGAGTTAGAACTTTGGGTGACAAAAAGATAGCCCTAGCTCTTGAATTTCTCCTCGTCAAGAATTTTGCATTCACACACATTTTGATTTTCATTAAGAGATTGCATCTGGCCAGGGAATGGATGGAAGGACAAAGCAATAGCACCTAGCTAAGTCCCAGGAATTCAAGCATGGCACCAGGACCATTAACAAGATACTGTAACTATTGCTAACTCTGAATCCTGTTCAAACTCTATGACACTAATCTCACATCAAAACTGTTTGAAAATTAAAAGTTAAAAGGCAAGCCACCCAGCCAGATATGTGCCAAATGGCTGTCACCTCTCTGTATTATTAGAGTCTCAAATTAACCAGTACTGAAGTGAATTGCAGTTCATTAAGTTCTTCCATAATACCCCTCACTCTTCATCAAAACCTTGAGCAAGTCACTTGAGAATGAAGCCATTGAGATAACTGTTTGGGTAATGATTTATAGAATTGGACAGGCTCCTACCAGGTGAGAAGTATTGTTAATTGGTTCACATTTTCAAAGGTCAGTAGGGTCAATATAAGTTAACATTTCCCATGTCATACCCTTTGTCCAGAGACTGCTTTCCCAAAGTGATCATACGGCTACAGGTCCACAGGAAAGTAGAGAGGTGGGATAAAGGGGATCATTGAAATTCCTTTTGTAAGGGTGAGGGTGGGAAGAAGAAAAGGGTCTATTTTTGAGATTTCCTTCAGCTATAGTAGGTAGTCTTTATAAGTCTTTGCTAAGGTTGAAATTCATTCTCCAAGTCCCCATTAGGGTAATTGTCTACACCCTTGATTTAGGGAAGAAAATGCAAACTGTTGTAACTTTGGGATTAAACCATTCTAGTTGGCTAATACCAAAAAATTCAAATGAAAATAAAGTCTGATTTTCTGTATCTCTTATGTACCTGGTTAAGTCAAGTTGTACACATAATAATATGGATTCAAAAAAAATGAGTAGGCACAAAAATTATCTGGGAAGTTCTCGACCTTGTAATTAACAGTGTATAACATTGAAGAGTGGTGTTTCCAATGGCTTGCCTTCAAATTTTACTTATATTTGTCTGAAGCCTTGAAACGTTGAAAATGAAAAAAGCTTACATTTCACATTTTAAAAAATTAAGAAACAAACATCATTCCAATATATAATTGAGAAAATAACATTACAAGATGTATTTTTCTTTAAGACATGTGCATATCTACATACATTCAAGATATAAAGATTGTACTTTTAATTTTCATGCTACCAGAATGCTATTTCCAAATTCTCCTTAACAGAAAATCCAGCTTTCTGAAGCGTATTGAATGGCATGGCATGGCTTATGTGGCTTAAGCCCAGAGAACCCTATGATAGAAAGAAGCCACTCAAGTTACAAGGATATTTTACATGTATCTGTAAGTAAAAATTCATACTGATAATTCCTTACAACCTGTCGACATATGCCCACACATACACAATTAAATAGTAAATATAAAAGAGCAGAATGCAAGAGATCGAACATCACTGAACTTTTAAACTTCTCAAGATTATCATTACTTCCGATACGAGTCAGGCACAGGATTTTGGGTGGGCTTCGGTTGAGGACACCTCCCAGAGACCTGGCAGGTCACGTGACCTCTGGTTTCGGTCCTGCCCTCAGAGCATGGTAAATGTCAGTTCCTTGTTCTGGAGTATAGTATTTGGTCTTTTGTGGTAGCAGCATCACGATGCACAAAACAGGTATTCGAGTGAACGCATATATGCTTTCTGAGGATTTCGTCCAGAACAAAGGCTGGATCTTGACTTGAGGAGGAGAAAAAGCATTGGTGGCCACCCTTGTAAGCAAGATAGCCATACCCTGTGCTGGGGAGCAGAGCAGGTACAATTGAGGCAAAATGTATGATGAAGGCAGAAGGATTCTGTGGGCCAAAAGGAGCAAAGACAGTGACTTCCATCTGCTTTCCCTGCCTAAGGCAAAAGCTCTATTCCCCTCTCATTCTCTTGGTGGTTGGAGGGGAACCTGAGGGGTCTTATCTCTAAGTTGTTCTCCCAAGGGATGCTGGAGATCCTTGAAGCTAGCAGTGCTCCTCATACTTAACAAATAATGTCCTCTGTCACCGCTGTATAAGAGTCTAGTGAAGATACCTAGTAAGCGTAGCGGATGGCCATTGTTTGTGCTTAATATTCTGAAATCCGTGCTTCTTGTTCCAATTGGGGAAAGTAGTCAGGATTACTTGGGATTTACTGCAGAACTGAGAAGCACAATCTGGTGCCCTCTTCTACTGTCCTCACTCTGTCACATTTGACCTCTTAGAGTAGTGGAATATGATTAGTCTTATGCTCAAATGTCAGCTTCCTGTGACAGAAAATGTGTAACAATTTCTTTTTTTGTACAAACGAGCAACAGGTTAAGGAATTAAATACCAAATTCAAAACAAAAGAGGATTCAACTGTTTAATTAAATAAATAATGTACTCAAATTCACTAGGGTTTAGAAGCAGTATTTCAACAAACATTTGCTTATGCAACACTAATTTATAAATACATGTACCATATTTACACATACTTACATATGTGCAGGCATACTGGTTATATTTATATATAAGGAATGTATTCAGTGCATTCTATAATATATGATCACTACCTAACTTTGCTTACCCAGGTGGAGTTATAACATCTGCTGGTAAGTGTCTAGCAATATTACAAGACCTTGGGTTTCTAGGGATATTGGCCTTTCGTATCCTTGCCTGGGTCTAGCTTCCTTGAGTATTGTTATGAGATAGCCAAGGAGGGGTTAGAAACCTAGAAAGCATGTCTCAATGGTCTCAAGTAACCTATGAAGGTATAGATGACCTTGACCTCTTCAGCCTACTTATCTAAATTAGTAACAGAGTATGAAGGCATACCACATCTGGATTAGAACTTTGGATGACAAAGAGGAAGCCTTATCTTTTGAATTTCTCATGCTCAAGATGTTGTATTCACACACATTTGATTTTCATTAAGACATTGCATCTGCCAGGGAGTAGATGGAAGCACAAAGCAATAGCACCTTGCTAAAGCCTCAGCCTCCCAAGTAGCTGGGACTACAGGCATGCGCCACCATGCCCGGCTAATTTTTTTCTATATATATTAATTGGCCAATTAATTTCTTTATAGTAGAGACAGGGTCTTTCTCTTGCTCAGGCTGGTTTCGAACTCCTGACCTCCAGCGATCTGCCCGCCTCGGCCTCCCAGAGTGCTAGGATTACAGGCGTGAGCCATCGCACCCGCCCTCCATTTGTTCTTGATAGGTGTGTATTCTTGGTAGATTTTTTTAAGAAGCTGATAATATATGTGTGATTTGAGAAAGAACCCACAGGTTCTTTCAAAGACAGGTGCAGAAGAAATTATTGGTGAAAACTTGATCTGTTGGCTGTTTGAGAACTAATATATTTATATCTCTAATTGATCACAGAAAAGAGGTGGATTCAAGACACGTGTATTTTTCAAAAACCCTTGTGTGCTTGATTTGAGTGTACCTTGTGACCTCAGTGCACTTCTTTAAACATGGCTAATGTGTCTGGTTATTTTGTAAACAGGTGTGCTTTAATTCTAAGAATTGTAAAAATATAGAGAGAGGCAACATTAAAAATATTGAATATTCTAAGGAGTAGTAAATGATCTTTTCAAAGACCTCAAATTATAATGTGAGGAACGCATGTCTGTACACTTTAGGTACAAGGCAACCGGGACTTTATGTAAAAAATATATATGGATAGGAAAGATATAAGAATGTATCGCAAAGTATTTTACAAGTTATTTCTTCTAGTTTTGATCGAAATATTTATTTTTGGCTTTATGGCTTTTTACATTATGAAAATCAATAAATTTTAATTATTTACTTAATAAAATTTAATAAATTTTAGGAATTCAAATTCTTAACATGTGAAAAGGTTGCCAACAGCAAGTGTTACTTTTGTAATTCCGTAGAGGAGAAACTCCTTTCTAGAATACAGTATAGAGAAATTTCCAGCTAGGGACAGCATATGTTGATATGGGAGTATGCAATTTACATGAGGTGGTACAGAAGACTTTGTATAAATCTACATCCAGTATGAGTCAAAATGTAATTACAGTGAAATAAATGTGCTCGTACATGTGTAAACAATGTGTAGTATATTAAATATACTACATGGAAAATATATAATAAATGGCGTAATACAAAGCATTTTTCATAATTTAGTCAAAATGAATACTTAACAATTTTACATAATATTGTCATATTGCCCAAAAATCAGGTGAGACTATTTCTTATGCAACCTATAATTTACATACATCCAATTTTAATATTTGTAATTTTATATATTAAATTTAATATAAATTTATTGTTGTATATGGTAATAAATATAACATTTTGTGTGGATTGAAAGGAGTGGAAGGACGTAATCCAAAATGTTATCAGTGGTGTTAATAGTTTTTAAGACAGTGCTTTACTGTTTATCAGTGCATGGTTATTTCCCAATCCTTGGCAAACATTCTGTCTTAGTCACTAATGAGAAAATGGTTTATTTCTTAAGAGATAAATGGCTTATTTCTTAGAGATAAATGATAATACAAACCCTATCCCCAACCACCCCAGTAAATACCCAATAGTCATAGGAAGCAATGAAAGGTCATTTAATGACATGAGAAAATGCTTGTCTTTTAATGGTAAATGAAATAACAAGACATAACTCTTGAGTATCCTCTGATTGGAATTATGTATCCTGCCATGTAGGGTATTGTATGGCATATATAGTGATGAGAACCCTGTTGGCGCTTCTCTTAAGACTGTAGCCATGGCGGCCAACAATTCAATACTTACACGCTGAGATCTTTATCCAGAAAATGTGGAATTTATTGGGAGCCTAAGAGATGGATGAGCCAGGCAAGGACATGAGTATTGGTATTTAGTGATGTCCTCCAAGCCTTGAGTTTTTCAGCATTTTCTTTTTTTGTTTAGGCTTAGATTCTTCAGACTTGCACCACATAAGCAGACAACTTGATAACCTGGGTAAATGCTAGAAGTGTAATGCTGAATGAACAAGACCAAAATTCGTAAGGCAAGGCCCTTTGGAAATTTAATTCTTAAATGAAGAATAGGCCTGATAAGAGTTGATTTAGGCCTCAGTTGAGTTTTAGATAGAAACCAAAGGCAAAAGTGCCACAGCCTTATTAAGTTTCCTGAAGAGGGGAAAAATGTAAGGCTACATTTCCTGGTTCTTTTATGTCTTGATGGCGTTTTTTCGGACAGAAAGGGCGGGAGAAGAGGGCCTAGGGAGCAGAACTTGTTATCATATATGGAGTGCTACTGCCATCGTGCGGAAATAGTTTTCAAACACAGCATGCCATATTGCTTCATCCCTTTGAGAACTTTGGATTTCGAAGGTTTCTTTCAGCAGAGACATTGAGTAGGCCCTGGCATGCAACTGGGCCACTCTGGCTTCTCTTTAGTTATTATTCTTCCAGGTCTGGATATAGGATTAATGCTGGTAAGACAAAGGCGATGTAAAGGTATCAGCGATTGTTATTGAGGGGCCGAACTGAGTCCAGGCACAGGAAGTTGTTGGGTGGGGCTTCGGTTGAGGACACCTCCCAGAGACCATGGCAGGTCACGTGACCTCTGGTTTCCGGTTCCTGCCCCTCAGAGCATGGTAAATGTCAGTTCACCTTGTTCTGGAGTGATAGTATTTGGTCTTCTTGTGGTAGCAGCATCACAGTGCACAAAACAGGTTATTTCGAGGTGTTAGAACAGCATATATGCTTTCTGAGGGATTTCGTCCAGAACAGAAGGCTGGATCCCTTTGACTTGAGGAAGGAGAAAAAAGCATTGGTGGCCACCCTTGTAAGCAAAGAATAGCCATACCCTGTGCTGGGGGAGCAGAGGCAGGTACAATTGAGGCAAAATGTATGATGAAGGCAGAAGGGATTCTGTGGGCCAAAAGGTAGCAAAGACAGTGACTTCATCTGCTTTCTCCTGCCTAAGGCAAAAGCTCTATTCCCCTCTCAATTCTCTTGGTGAGGTTGGAGGGGGAACCTGAGGGGTGCTTATCTCTAAGTTGTTCTCCCAGAGGATGCTGAGATCCTTGAAGCCTAGCAGTGCTCCTCATACTTAACAAATAATGTCCTCTGTCACCGCTGTATAAGAGTTCTAGGTGAAGATACCTAGTAAGCGTAGCGAGATGGCCATTGTTTTGGTGCTTAATATTCTGAAATCCGTGCTTCTTGTGCCCAACTTGGGGAAGTATGTCTAGGATTACTTGGGATTTACTGCAGAACTGAGAAGCAATCTGGTGCCCCTCTTCTACTGTCCTCACTCTGTCAGCATTTGACCTCTTAGAGTAGTGGAATATGATTTAGTCTTTTGCTCAAATGTCAGCTTCCTGTGACAGAA